AATGAGAGTGTTCTGAAGTTCAGTTGTTTCCTTTAAAGCTGACCATACATGACATGAAATGACATACCGTAGTACCCATCTTAACATGTCTTAACAACAGGGCAACATCAAAAGGAGCAGCCTGGACCAGTCAAACTGGTTCCCGAAATCGCACGAAATCGCTCCGACCGGTCCGGAACGGAGGTTCGAGCGCGACATGACGCCGCATCCACAGTATGTGGCCTTCTACAAGTACATCGAGAATGACGGGAAGGGTAGAGGGAGGGCAGACGTTTCTGCCGCGAGCCGTTTCATGCAGGTTGTTGGCTTGGCCAGTGGTCCCATCAGTAGTCATCAGTGAGAGCATTGATGTGTATCGGTGTCAGCTTCGCATCTTTGCTTCGGAACTGGAAAAGCGATTCACACCTCCGGTTTGTCTGGACGACACGACGGCGACCGAAGCATGGGACCTCATCGGACGCATGGGCAGTATGACTGCCCCAAGAAACCCCATGTTGCGGCATGCCGTGATTGGCTGACACCTCCTCACAACGGTTTCTTTTTGGAAGTAATTATTGCAGACTGTTGATGAATCACCCCCTACTAGAATGGTTTTACAATGTTGCGGGTGTTTTATTAATCAACAATCTTAAAAACAGTCTACATTACTGACACGCTCCAACAAGGACTTGATGGTCCGGTTCCTTTTTGGAGCTTGTGGGGCACGATTTTGGAGCTTCAGTTCGACCATTTGTAGGAGTCAAACCATGAAACTTGTTTATCTCAGTCTCAGTTTGAGGATGTTTGAGGTCACCTTGGGGGTCAAACCTTGCTCCTCTCCCCCTCTGTCTACACACTCACCCGGGTGACTTAAAACTTCCAGCCCGGAATGTGATGCCAACGCCAGACCAGACATCGCATCACCATCAAGTTACGTACACTTCCCCTTTATCACAATACACTTCACATTCACATCACCAATGTGACGCCACACATTTTGTCACATTGCAGTTCCACCTTCCACCACAAGTTCCCCAATCGTCTTTTGTGCGTGATTTCATTAGAAGTTCACTCTCCAGCCGACCGGAACTTTTGCTGAAACAGTTGAGATATGAACTTTCACCTAACGTCCTACAAGGTACAGATTGGAGAGTCCCAGGGCAACAACTGGCTAAAGCCCGCTGGACCAAAGGGACCCCTCCATTGCTTCAGAAAAGACGATTGCGCAAAACCCAGCAACCTCGAGCCGCAACCTTGCATGCCCCAAAATCCATTGGTCACTCCAGCAGACTATAACCGCTAAACAACATGGCGGCTTCGAGTTAGACTTGATTCTGGAAAAGAACACATTACCGTAAGATCCATTGCGCGGTAGAGCAGTTCCTGGGACCTAGTAGATCTACTTTCCTACAGGCGACAGACAATGTCATGCCCAGAAGCAAGAGTAAATCAGAATTAGCTGCGGGGAAGGTTTCGTAAGATGTCGCTGCTGGTAGTGCTTGGCTGTTGTCATGGGGCTCAGCTTGGGCTGATTAAATTCCGCGAGCCTAGGCCATGAGCAACCAAGCTGGAGCAGCAGACAAAAACATGTTCGCGTCTCGCTCAGTTCTCATCCAGCCGTAGCGCTGCGTCTTGCGCGGTCATATGTGCGGATTGTACAGTAGTATTTCGTGGAGGACCTGAAAGCCGACGTTGTAGTCCACTTCGGCATGCCGGGAACCTCAAATTGGCAGGAGATGTGCAAGGACGTATGGGGGGTGTGCATGGAAGGGCCATGCGTGGCGATGAACGGACAACATGCTAACCAACAACGACCTATATACATGAAGCAGATCACGGGACGAACCTTCAGAGTTTGCAGTTTCTCTCCCATCTGGCAGTGCTCTTGGAGGAATACATCGGGCAAGTCTTTCAAAAAGAGAGTCCACAAACAGTCTTCTTTGAGATAGTTTGTGATCGATTGGTTTGCCCAGAGTGTTGGTGCCCATGAAGCCACCCGTGACTATGTCCCAGACTTGATCATCACCAAGGCATGGCACTGCCGAATGGCTTCCAGGTCGCCCGTTAGGCAATCTGGCTTCGTGTTGCTTGGCCATGTAACGCAATCGTGGACAGCGCGACTCCGCTCTGACTGGGAAGTCTCATGCCTTGGACGGATGTTTGAGGTATAGCTTTGGTTGGAGATTGGGTGGGAAGGGTCGCAGGTGATTTTGGGAAGTGGGCCTTTCAAGTGTAAACTTTTATGCAATCACGGAAGGGTCCTTGAATGTCCTTGACCTTCAGTCCTCACCCATTGCTTGAACCTGTTTGGGGTTGTGATTTGCCGCTACAGATGGCATGAGGTTGGTGACGGAGTTTTGCAGAGTGTTTCAATCACTCTGCTTGGTCGAAGCTGACATCACCTGGGGCAAAAGTTTCACGGTCTTCAGCGAACTTGCAAGCTAACAATCAGCATCTTCTCGTATTTGATGTGTTGATTACAGCGGGGTTCCACACAGTTGTGGTGAAGAAAATCAACTAACACATTCAATATTGTGTATGTACTTGAGGGCACCATTTCTCATAAGTCCAGGATTTAAATTAGAATCAGACAGTCAAAAAATTAGATTGAACAAGTTTCGATGCAGACCATCACCAGTGTGTATAGCACATCTTTTTATAGATGACCACTGCGCAGCCCCTTTTGGATTCAAGACAAGGTTCGCATGGTAGCGGAGCCGGGATAAGGGTCTTTGAGCTCCAGAGAAAACGCCCCTAGGTCACCCTGAGCGCGATTTCCCGCCATAGGTTTGGGGCCTTTGGAACCCAAACAGCTGGACTGGTGATAAATTGTTGAGAGCGACGCTCTGTACCCCGTACGTTGTGTCAGAATGACATTCTATAGTGGAAGATGGAGGGGATCAGAGAAATCCTAACAGTTATAGCGCAGAGTGCGCAAGCAACTACATCAGTGGCTGAGGCAGTGAGGAAAGCAGTTGAGGACAAGAAGTTGATTAGTCAAAATCGATAGCGACGGCAAATATCCTTGACTGTAAGTCACAAGAAGAAGAGATCAAGGCATTTAGAGAGTGCTCATAGGTAATTGAAATGTTTGAGCTCAGTTGATGAGGCTTACATGAAGGACTTGAAAAAAATCACGAAAAGCCAAATGAGAAGTTTGACATGGAGTTGGCAGTACAGAGGAGAAGACTAGGTGCATCAAGCTCTATGGATTGTTAGCTTCATTGATGAGGGGAAGAGCACTGCAATTGGTTAAAGCTGTGGAGGACTCCAATGGATTTGATGCCTGGAGGAGTTTGAACACAGCTTTGAAACCTACATGGCCAGCATGTTCAATGAACAGTGCACTACAACCTCAACTTCTGAAGCTTGAAGAAGTCTTTGATGAGACGGTCAAGGCAGGGGCGACAATTCAAGAAGAGTTGAAATCTGCTAGTCTTTTGAGAACAGCTCAAATCGTACTTGACTTTGCTTGGCGACAATCTTAGAAGTGCTTAGTCTAATTTTTGTAATTTTTTTGTTGTTTGTGGGTTGCCGGTATATCACGAACGGTGCTCAAGCAAACACGTTGAAAAACGAGAAGACAAAATAACTCAAGGGTAGTGAAGTGTCCGTGGCCCCGCAATGAAATATCTATCATGTGGGATTGCTGCCCAGTAAGAAGCTATACTCGAAGTAGACAGATATAATGTGAAAGTCTTGCCGCCAAGACTGGCTTTTATACCTGAGATGGAATGACACTGTTCTTTTTATCCGAGTGTAGCCAGTACTCAGCAGTTTCTGGGGTGTGACCCTGTCAACACCCCTTGGGAACGAGAACCGTCATGTTGAAGAACGAGAATGGGAAATATCTTTCTTACATCCGGCAACCGCATCACTCCCAATCAGCTCATTTTTCCCGCCCAGCCCATGCGACAGGTCGAAGGTTTTTCTTCCAAAACTGCAGCTCCAATGGCCGAAGCAGCCACTGAGGACTGCGCTGCGCGCTTCATGAAGGCCGAAGCAGCCTGATCAAGTGGCCGAAGCAGCCATCACTCCAGCGGGTCCCACACTTGGTCGTCATCTGCAGTGGGGTCCTTCTTCACCATCATCAGGAGCGGTTGGCGCTGACTTGGGCTTGGCCTTTGGCTTTGTCTTCGGCTTGGGCTTGGGGCCTCCCCTGCCTCTGCCTCTCCCCTTTGGTTTGGCCTGCGGCTTGGCCTTGGGGTCAGGACCGCCAGAGCCCTGAGACGGGGTTTTCTTCAAGCCAACTGCTTCAGAGTAGGCGGCCGAGAACAAAGGAGAGTTCGGGTCGACCATGTCCTCTTTCAACAGCTCGAGCAAGCGGTTCTCCAAGCCACGCACATGCGCCTCGGTGAAGCAGATTCCAACGTAGCCTGTGCGCGTGCGCAGGCATGCCCAAGCGAATCTGGCATCACTTGGTGTCATGTCTACCACCATTTTCGCGTAATAGCCATGCAAAATTTCTTCGTAAAATGCAAGTGGCAACGAATGGTAGCACATGGGTTCGAGCTCATTTGCTGCACGGTTGGACGTGCGATCGCCAGCATCGTCGGCTGTCTTGCCGCCCACTGGCACCAAATGCTTTTTGCCGAGCATCTCCTTTTTCTCCTGCCATTTGACGTGCCATTCTTCCGCCAACTTGGGCCACGCTACTCCAAGCAGCAGGTCGCCATTGCTGCTGCCCTGAAAATGCTTCCGGGTTCGCACAGGCAAAGTCAATTTCTTGCTGCTGAGAACCAAGCAAGTTTCAACTTGTTTCAAGGTTCCCGTGCCTCTGACGCGCTGCTTCCTGGAGGCAAGGCTGTCTTCAGTGTAGGCAATCAGAAGGCTATCCCATACCAAGTTGGGTTTGTCCTTCCTCCTCTTCATCTTCAGCTGCTGCTCCTTTCTTGTTCCCTTCTCTGCTTGTGCCTTCCTTCCAAGGTGCTAGAAGCTTGTTTTTGTTTCCCTGCTTGCCTCCATCCAAAATCAAACCGATCTCACCCGGTTGGAGGGCACCGGGCCCATCCCCTCCAGATCTAGCGTTCAAAACACTTCGCACCAGCTTGCAGTACGGCTGGTCCCTCAAAAGTTGGAATTCGAAAGTCAGGCCGTGTCAATGGCTCACCAAATTTCTTGATGTCAAAATGCAAAAGCACTTGACCGGTAGGATCACCTTTCAAAGTGGCATAGCCAGTGTCTTTCAAAGCCTGTTCCAATTCAGCTTGTGATTTGCCTTCTGGGATGAGACGGATGTGTGCCCGGATCGTCTTGAGCATGTGCTGGCGCCATTGCTGCTGGTCCTCGTCGTTCAAAGTGTCGTGGGCCGAAGCAGCCGAAGTGGGAGCTGCAGTTCCTGTGGCTGAAGAATCAGAAACAGCAGTAGCTGCTGCGGCCGAAGCAGCCGACCCAGCAGAAGGAGCCGGAGCAGCTTCCACCGAAGTGTTGGACTCTGCGGCGGGCTTCTTTTCGGAGCGCACCTGTGCCTCCGCATCTTGAAGCAATTTGGCCACGGTCGGATAGCCCAAGAAATCTTCAAGCTCGTGCTTTGCCTTTACTGCGTCTCTGTAGCGGTTGTCAAAAGCTTGATTGTACACCAACTGCTCAATGATGTCAGTCACTTGATTCACACTCTCCGGGCACCCCACCATCCAAGCAGAGTCTGGCGCAGCACTTGCAGGGTAGGGAGCATACTTCTTCCGCACAGACTCAAAGGACGAAAAGGTGTCTCGCAAACCGTTTTTCCACTTCGCCTCGATGTCCAAGCCCTGAAGCCATTCTTGCAGCAGGTGTTCTTTGACCTTCTTCTTCAATTTCAAGACCTCGACGTAACCTGAGAATCGCAACCAGTTGTTTATTAAAAACAATGGTAGATATGCTGAAAGGAACTAAATGCAAGCCGAGATGCTTTGGCGGCTGTCCTTGACTTTCTGCACCGCAAAGTGGGACAGGTCCACGATGTTCATGCGGAAGCCATCCATCATGCCCAGCATGCACCAAATGATGTTGTCACTGGTGGAAGCTCGGTCCAGCAACGCCTTGAGAGCGTAAATGCTCTTCCAAGGATTGTTGCGCAAAAGCTCCCTGTCTGCCCACTCAAGAATCTGTTGGCAAGGCTCCAGACTGAGCAAGCGCCTGTGAATGTGGCACGCGTCCTCGACAAACGATTTGCTGATTGGTTCGGCGTCCACCGCAAGTTTCAACTGCTGAGTGTAAGCCTGCGCCACCTTTTCAGCCCCAAACTCGTGTCCGGATGCTTTCTCTTTGGACATCTTGAACCCAGCCACATCATAAATGCGCTGTCGGAGGCTCATGCGAACCACCAAGCCATGGTTTACTGCTTGTTCTCGGAGATTCTGCGCGCGCCAAAAACGAGCTTCACCAGCTGTCACTGCTTCAAAGGTGAACGAGACCGTCAGGCAAACGCGTCGCCATTCTTTCAACCTTTGTTCCCCCACATTGCTTTGAATATCATGCTGAATCGACAGCAGGAGTGCGTGAACTGGCTCAGCTGGAGACAACCGCTGCCATCCACCTTCAGGCTTGGAGGCCAAGGCTTCTTTGTCTACTGCCACAGTGACCGTGAAAGGAAATGTGGACGGTGGGCTGGAAAATTCTGTTTTTTGGATGGCTTTGACCTGCCCCACATTCACAGGAACCCTGTGGTTGGCCATCCAAATGAGGTCAGACCACCAAATATTGCAGCCGCAACGGTAGCAACCGGCATTGCTGCCAATGGCTTTCTTCAAAGATTCCAACTCAAAAGGAACTTGCTGTCCTCCTTGGCTGACAGTCAATGGCTTCGCTGTATCAATATCTTTGAAGAGTGGGTGGTCGCGGATGCATTTGATTGCTTCGTGAATCTTCATGAGTTGCTCAGTACCCACTGCCCCATCTTGGCTGCTGGCCGGAGCAGCCATTGGTTCGACCTTCTGTTTTTTTTCGGAGCCATGTGGCCGCAGCAGCCACAATTGGTCCTGGCCCTTACTTGTACTAGGTGCTGCGCGCAAATCTCGTTCTTGAGCCAAAAACTGATGAAACTATGAAAAATTGAATCAGTGGTAGTTGTTCTATTTCTGGTTATGCGAGTATGCGAATACACAATACGACCATGGGTGAGGAGTAATATCGATCTCAGTTTATGGTATATAACGTATATATTGTGTATATGTATATATATTTATTTATTATCTTTGCTGCTGGATCGGTAAGCTGCTCCAAGGAATTTGAAGGCGCGCAAGTCAACAGTAACCGTTAAAGTGTTTGGGGTCTGATGTCTCTTGACCTCTAACATGCGCGGGGGCAACATTCAGACGACAAGGCACTCCGCCCAGGGCAAGTCATAATCAGTTCAATTTCCCAACTAACCCGCAGATATAGGCCCAGCCTTCCCCAATCATTTTCGGCGACGCTGCGTTGTCGCATTCATGGCCGAAACAGCCAATTTTTGTCCATGGCCGAAGCAGCCACGCTGTGGCCAAAGTCGCTATGCTCTGACATGTTAGTCAGCGGCGTCCATGCTGCTGACAAGCATCCGATTGGCAGCACAGCCTGCACATTTGAGATGAGCAGGAAACACCCCTTTGGTTGCGTTTGCAATGAACGCACATGGGAAGGCTCATCTCTGTTGCAGGTCGCGGCGCCCGACCTCCTGAAGCACGATAATCAGCAGCCCGTTGCCTCTTTCGAGACAGCCAGCCTGAGTCGGCAGAACGATGTCCACTGCGTTGTTGTTCCCGGAGTTTTTCTGCCAAGGTGCGCACCTCCCCAGTGAGGTCTCGAACAGCTGAGACAACGTCATTGAAGTCCTCCCGATCCACAGGGCCCTCATCATCCTGTGTCATACGAGCGCCCGGACCTGGAGTCAAGGTTAGTCTGGAAGGCTCCGGCTTGCCCTTGGCATGAACATGTTGGTGTAAAACCGGAGGTTCACTTTCTGGCGCAGGCGGAGACTGGAGACGTGGGCTCTGTTCGGCTGTGGGCGGAGTTTCACCCGCAGCCTGATCTTCAGTTTGGCCAGCCGCAGCAGCTGTAGTGTGTCCGGCCGAAGCAGCCGTTTCTTGATCGGGCTCCACATCCTTTGACGTGTTGGCCGAATCAGCCATAGGTCCTTGGTCGGCAGAAGCAGCCGGCGCATCAGAGCCCTCGTCATCTGTGTACTCATAGTCATAGCTATAAGTATAGCCGTCAGAATCTCCATCAAAACAGTGTTGCCGCAGCGCCCCGTCAGCTACTGCGTCACTGGCCTCAGCGTAGGGTGGCCCGTTTTTCACCAGGGTATCCCAAATTTTTGGGCCTGGCCAACAATTCGTCCCTTTCGCAATTTCGTCCCAGGCTTTGTTCGGGTTGAGCACTGTTTTGGCTTTGCACCAACCGTCATATGGCTTATTGGTGCTTCTCCAGTGCTTGTCGAACAAAATCCCGTACTTCCAATTCACGTGGTTGGCGAAGGTCATGTGGTAGAGACATAGGGTGCTGTCTTCAACAGCGTTGGTGGCGCGGAGGTTCTTTGAGACTTCACCTTTGTCGGCTGCATGTCGGACCAAGTGCACATTCTCAGTGTCCATCTGCATTGCTTGGCAAAAGCGAACCACCCAGTGCTGTGCATTGTTGGGGGCGTTGACACGTGAAATCACGTGCAATTTGTCCCGACCATATTTGGCCCAGAAGCAACGCAGAAAAGCCCATGCCCCTGGCTGCGCCGCCTTCCAAATCGTCAGTCCATCTTGTTTGACCTTGGAATCAGTGCTGGAAAGCACTCCACCGCAATCCAAGATCATGACCATGGGTGGCCGAAGCAGCCACGCTGGCCGAAGCAGCCAGTAACCGCAGTTCCAAGCCGTCGACTGAACTTTAACAGCTGCGGGCCATTGAGTTATCACAGAGTCAAGACTCGATTTTGCAGAGACAGTGCAAGGTCCCGTGGCCACTCTCTCTATGTGAATTTAGCAACGTTTTATGGTATATGTAACTGACTATATAAAATATATAGAGATCGATGTTACTCCTCACTTCCATTACATCTATCTTGTATTATCTTGTAGGTTATTGAAGTATTGTACTTAGTCTGATGGAGGAAAATTATCGTAAGCAAATCAATGCCTACAGTCAATTGGTCACATAGTTGTGTAAGGAGTAGGCAAGTCGCCCTCTCCTTACACACTTCGGGGACGTCCCCAAAGTGCCGTGCGAGCAGTCAAAAAGTAGGCAAGAGCCTTGAATCAACAACCCGCTTACCGTAATTTCATTTCGTCCTCTTTTCGGCTGCTCCTTACACACTTCGGGGACGTCCCCAAGCTACGGTGTGAGTAGGCAATTCGTCCTCTCCGTACGCATCCCTTTTCCGCTATTCCGAGGCGCGGAAGGAGCTGTCAAGGTTCTATCTATTCTAGCTAATCGCTGGGCCGAAGCAGCCCTTTCGATCAGTGGTGTGGCCGGAGCAGCCAAGACCTATATAGGAGGCCGAAGCAGACCTTTGATGATTGCTCGGCCGAAGCAGCCTCGCAAGGCACTACTTGTCTAAGACTAACGAGGAAGGCTACACGCAAAGCGGTCGCACAGAACAGCTTCAGCTGTGTCGCCAAAAAAGCCAGACTGAAGCCATCGCCACTTGAAGGTCGGAGTTTCTAAGCGCGAGAGACTCTGCAAAAGGGTCAAGGCTTGCTGAAACTCATGTTTGGTGAATTCTGTCACCTTCAAGTTGCTCTTCAAGTTGACGCTCCTGTCAGGCAAGCCACAGGCGATACGAGTCACTGGGTAATGACAACTGTGGCTGAAACGAAGAGTGGTCAGAACATCCAAAGCAGTGATCATGACTTCATCGTCTCCGTCAGCAGCAGCATTTGCCCACATCATGGCATTGCGTGCGCACTCCAGAACATCTTCCCAATCCTTTCCAAAGGTTGCTTTCAAAACTACATGGGTGCCATATACTAGCCTTTGGAAATCTTCGCGGGATCGCTCTTCAGGCGTCGGGTTGGCAGAAGCCGCTTCCATCATGGTATAGGAGCGGGTCAAGATCAGAGGAACAGAACCCTAAATGGCTGCAATAGAAAGAATTAGACAAGACAAGTTAGACTCGCGCATCATGAAAAGCACCCTTTTGGCAAACCCCAAGCCAATCAGTCAGTTTCAGGCACTGTACTTCCAACCGGCAGCCGAAGCAGCTGTCATACGCCTGGCCGAAGCAGCCGCATCCTCAGTCGCAGGGAAAGGGTTGTGTCTTGCTGAGAAGGCCAGCCGAATACAACGCCATTTGCATGACTTCTCCAATTAATGGCGCAGGGACAGAGTTTCCTAGCATTTTCCTCAGGCTCCCTGATGAGACGGCTGCTTCCCACCCTGTCAGCTCAGCAATCCTAGTTCCATTTAGACGGATCATCTCATTTGTGGTGAGGTGCCGGCCACGCGTGCTGATCCAAAACCCTCCAGAAGGCGCGCGTCCACGACACAGCGTGCGAGCTACGTCAATCCCATATGTCAAGTAACTTTCTGAGCAGCCGACGTCTACGGCAACAGGAACTTTCCTTGCGTCAACTCCTGGTATGCGATCCGAGCCAACTTGGCAGGCCTGGCCCCCTTCGGAAGCCTGCCAGCTTTGTCAGTGGGGCTGAGAGGGTCCAGGACACAAGCTAAACGCTTTTTCCCCTGCCCGGCAGGCCATTTGAATCTGCGACGATAACTAGTGCGCAGAATGCCCACCACGAACAATCGGCGCCGCACCTGTGCGACTCGGAAGTTGGAGCTGTCCAAGACTTTCATCCAAACCACATATCCCAGTTTCTTCAGCGCAGCCCGCATTCCGTTCAAAACTGGACGAAAAGCTTTGTGGGTAATTCCCTTCACATTTTCGAAGAGTACTACTCGCGGGTGTTTTCTCTTGATATATTGAAAGGAACCCTTCATGGCCGCGGCGCGGGGATCTTTCAGGCCACGGCGTTTCCCTTGCACAGAAAAGGATTGGCATGGAGGAGTGAAAACATAGCAATCGCAGGCCGCCTCATCGTCAGGACTGCGGGTGGCCACATTGTCATGGAATCTGGCTGGCTTGTGCAAAGTAAGCAGCAGGTTCTTGCAGTCCGGGTCGATATCACTGCAGAATTGCAGTTGGGCTGGCACCTTCAAGCGCTGAAGAGCTATCCACGCACTGTCTAAGCCAGAAAAATCACTACCGAACAGCAACTTCCTAGGTGTACGCGCCGACATTGGGCCGAAGCAGCCCAAGGCCGAAAGCAGCACGTGAGGAGTTGCGCAGCGATGGGAGACTATCAAAACCCTTTGCAAGTCGCATGCGCATTTAAGCTTCAAAGCTGCGCCATTTCCATCGCCAGTGAAACATGTGGGCGACATCTCGTACCATCCCAGCAACGCTGAAAGCAACCGCAGCCTTTTATCTGCAAGGCGACCTGGTCGATCGCAAACAATAGCAACGGCATCTTTCGGCGCTGTTGTTACTCGCAAGCCATGTCGGGCGATGGCAAGCTGCAAGTCAGCCAAGGCCGGAGCAGCCATAGCCGTAACAGCCATGTAGACACACCCGCTTCCCAGAAAAGCTAAAGCATCACTTGAGCAGCAGCCCATTTTTGCTTGCGTCCGCAACTTTTTCGTCACTCGGTCGGCTTCGTTCTTTTCAAGCTTCTGCGCACAGGCCTCACGATCTGCTAGCAACTCCGGCGTAATTTCATCGTCCAGCAAAGACTTTTCTGCAAAGGCTTGAACTCTTCGGCATTTCATTTTCTTTCGCAAAAAAAGCTTCTCGGCGTCGTGTTTCTCCGTCCAAACAATGTCTAACTCTTGCGTATTCACCTCGGAATCTAAGGACTGGTTGGCGCCTGCCGAAGCAGCAGCTTTACGCCGTTTTCTGATAAACGCAGCCTCGCTTTTGCCATGAGCGCCATCTTCGTCCTGCAGTAGTTTTGTCACGCCTTTGTCGATTCTGTGGACATCATGGACGCGAGGTGCGCCATAACAGACAGACCAACACTTGCGAGCAAGCGGTAGAAGCGCGCGTTCATCGTAACAACGATTGTCCAGAGTGACTTTGACAGCAAGATCTTCCGTGCTTGCTTTTGCCTGATGCCGGCGGCTATGTACAGCCCAAGCTGCCTTGCTGAAGCCTTGCTCGACTCCGCTGGTGGAGCCACCAAAAACTAGGTAGTGAACAAGGGCTTGGCGCAGCACATCTACAGGGTGAGCGTCGCGCGCTCTCTTCCGGCTAGACAACTTGGCAATTATCGCCGCCCAAGCGGCCTGGTTGTCTCCAGCCTTCCTGGAGGTCTCCTTGAACTCCATTTGAGCCCGTGGGTGGACATCCTGAAATTGAGCTATGAGCAACTTCTCGTCCAGGCTGCAACTCCGAGCAATTCTGGAGAGGCATTCCTCAGTATTTGGGAGGCGGCCACGTAGATCGAAGCAACCAAAAGCCTAGCAGGAGAAACCGCAATCAGCTAAAAACCTTCCCGAAAACACAGTTGATTAACATGTTCAAAGTCGAAATCGCCATGTCAACGAGCCTGCATCAGCTCCCAGCATGGGAATTCAGCTGCCAATGTAGCTTCTGCCAAGGCGACCCATGCTTGCATGCGCTTTAAGCATGACATTTGGGTTTGCTGTGGCACACCCGTGGCAGAGCCAATACAACAGGTGGCGCGCCCAACTTGGTATACACAAGGCTCGGAAAGCATGTCCAGCATCGTCTTGGTGTACCCGAAGCGGTTGAAGCATTCGCCGTCGACAAACAGAGCACGAATTTGCTGGCGGTAAACGATAAGTTCTGCACTGATGCTCGCAGGGTCCAAGTCCTCCACATCCATTGATCTTGTCAGCTGCATACTGCAGTCTGCGGCGTCCGCAAGCATAGCCGCCTGGATGGCGTGTTCATCTGACAACCACAGCAGCCAAGCTTTGGCGTGCGTCGCCGCTTGGTCATTTCGAGCACGCATCAAATACAAACAGGTCTTCACACAAGCGTGCAGGTGCAAGCAGCTTCTGCCAAGCGGTTTCGAATACGATTCGAAACGGTGCTGGGCGGCTCGAAAATTGGTGACCGTAGTAGCCACACTCGCCGTCTCTTTGCAGTACTCGACAAAGATCCTCTTGATCTCAGGGCTGTGCTGAACCAGCCTTGCAACGGAGCCTTTACCCCCAGCCATGCGAGTCAGCGTCTCCTTCAAGAAGTCGTCGCATTGCCAAGGCCTGCTAGTGACCCGCCGAGACGCATGGGCTTTGTCCCGTAAGACAAACCGAAGATTGGGCGTAATCTTTTCAATCCCTGTGACAGTCGACCGCATGAGTTCCGAAGCCAAAACTTCATCTGCGGCGCTGTCTGTTGTGATTGTCGTCACTTTTGCCCGAAAATGCTCGTACAAGTCTTGTTTCAGGAAGCCGCCCCTCTTGGATCCAGGAGCGTTTGCAAAACGACTGCAGGCTCGCTGCATAATGTTTGCTGTTGCCGCTGTCAAGTTACGGCCGCCTGTCCCTGCAAAACGCTCTTGCCCTAAAAATCCGGAACGCACTTCCAAATTGGCAGACACTGCTCGGTAGCGAACTGCTACCCTGCCATTGCGTTCATCTCTGAACAATGAGATAGCCTCAGCTTCTTGGAAAAATTGTTGGTCCAATGACTTCATGGCTTCTGCCATGCACCATTGAATGTGGCAAAGCTAGTGGCGCGCCCTGCTGCGTGGCAAGCTTGGCAACCCACACCCCAAGGTTTGCCTTGCACTTGCAGCCACGAGCCTTGGCCAGGATCGCTTGGAACTAAAAGAAATTCGTTCTGCCATTTCACACCTAAGCGATCCCACTTTGCTTGAGCCCTCTCGACAACTTCAACGTCGACGTCTGTCATTAGGCCGAAGCAGCCCTGTGGCCGTAGCAGCCACGTTCATCGCTGTGATGGCCCCGCACTGCAAACTTGAACCAGAAACGAGATTTGCAAATATCTTTGTCTTGCATGAAAATATCTTTGCCCCCTCTTAAAACTGGCATGTACGCTTTCTAATCTGGTTGTGATGGCTCTTCTGACATGGCGCTGTTCTGTGTCAACATATGTCTTATCACAAGTTTTCTGTGTGGTCAGAGAAGACTGTCCCATTAATTGTTTTGGTGAAACACATGCGACAATCGCAATGGCTTCAGTGTTTTGAAATAGCAGCCAGGATTTTGTTGAGTAATCACCAGAACGAGAATGCAAAATAGAGTTAATGAACATAGCACATACAATGGGCAGAAACCTTCAACCTGATTTCCTTCACACTGAAAAAATTACAAAAAATTAGACTAAGCACTTCTAAGCCAAGCTGCAT